CTCTGCCTGCCTCTCTGCCTACTTGTGATCTCTGTCTGTCAAATAAAATCTTAAAAAAAAAATAAAGATATTATTTATTTATTTAGAGAGAGAGAGGGAGATAGCAAGGGGGGAGCATGAATGGGGTTGGGAAGGGCAGACACAGAGGGAGAAGGAGACTCCCCGCTGAGCAAAGATCCTGAGACACGGGGGCTTGATTCCAGGACCCTGGGATCATGACGTGGGCCGAAGGCAGATGCTTAATTGACTGAGCCACCCAGGTGCCCCTTCTTTTCTTTTTTAAAGATTAAAATTTGAGAGAGAGAGTGGCGGGAGGGCCACAGGGAGAGGGAAAGAATCCTAAGCAGATCCCATGTTGAATGCAGAGCCCGATGCAGGGTTCATTCCCATGACCCTGGGATCACAACTTCAGGGGAAACCAAGAGTTGGTTGCTTAACCAACTGAGCCACCACGTGCCCCCCTGAGAATTTTCATTGATCGATCACTAAACACTGCAGGAGTTGAGGATCCAAGGTGTGGGGTAATTAAGTCTTTTGGGTGGTTAATACCTAACACTGGGAGGAAAAGAGAGAGGTGAATACTCAGAGTTAAAAGAAAGCACCAGCACCTAATAAAGAATAAACTTTGTTTTTACATTTTGTTTTGTTTTACACAAAAACAGAACTGGTTCTGTAACTTTGGTAGGAGGAAAAAAGGAAGTATTGTTATATTATGTAAAATTCATGGACAAGTAGGGATGCCTGGGTGGCTCAGTCAGTTAAGCATCTGCCTTCGGCTCAGGTCATGATCCTAGGGTTCTGGGTTCTGTCCCTGTTTCTCCCTCTCCTCTGCCTACCGCTCCCCCTGCTTGTGCTCTTTTTATCTCTGTCAAATAAATAAAATCTTTTAAAACATTTTAAAATTCACTGATAAGTAGAACCCGGACCTTTGATTATATCAATGTAAACTTCACTATAATATGTATAATTCCATCATAGATGAAAATAGGTTTGCAAACAGTAGGGAACTTGGAAGGCCTCTAGTGAAAGACATTTCTTTTAAACAATTTTTTTTTTTTTTTAAAGATTTTATTTATTTATTTGTCAGAGACAGAGGGAGAGAGAGTGAGCAGGCAGAGGCAGAGGGAGAAGCAGGCTCCCCGCGGAGCAAGGAGCCCGATGTGGGACTCGATCCCAGGACGCCGGGATCATGACCTGAGCCGAAGGCAGCCGCTTAACCAACTGAGCCACCCAGGCGTCCCTAGTGAAAGACATTTCTTAATCTCACTGCCCCATTTTCTATCCCTCTCACTCAAGAAGGGAGACTAAGCAGATTTCAGGAAAATGATTAGGTGCTGTTTTACTGTGTAGAGGATGAGTATATACAAAAAGGCTGTCTTTCTAGGGCTCCCTTCTCTTACCTTCATGAGCCTGGAGCAGTGATCTAGCCTTGGGAGAACAAGCATTTGGATGTTTCTTTGATTTCCTGTCTGAGGAATTAATATTCAGGACAATGAATCTCTCAAGATATGTCTAAGTACGTATCCTGGCTGTGTTTTATGGCAAATAGGGATCATTACCAAGCACTTTTGAGAAATAAGTAGGAAATAAGAGGTTATTTAATAAGTCTCTTACTATATAATGAGCAAAAAGGCCAAATGGTCGGTTAGGTAGAACTTGAATGCCAATATCTCCTTCTTGTCCAGGAGGTAGAACATTGCCATTTACATCTAAAATCTAGGATAAAATAGAACAATTGATTTAAGGAAATGTTTATGTAAGGTGCATGTTAAAATTTTACTTTGCATGTTTTGTATTTTGCCATTTAAGAATGCAGACTTCCAAAAAAATTTTAAGTATACTTTAAATTCTCAAGAGAAATGTGTTTATTTAAATTCTTAGTGCAAAATACATGATAAAATGCAAGTTAGCAAAATATAAAGAATAAAAATCATCTTTAATTCTATCTAACAATAATCTAATTTTTGGTCATATCTTTTGAGACAATATAGAGATAGGAAAAAAATAGGATCACTTTATAAATACACTGTTTTACAACCTTCTTTTATCATGCAGTATGTCTTGGTTGTCTTATTCTCAAGTAAATATTTCATTACTGGTTTACAAACGTTGTTTAACTATGGAACAAATAAAACCTTACTTCAGGAGCCCAATATAAGTAAGCAGAGAAAGGGGAATGTTCTCTGGTTGAAACACTGCTGAGTATGCCAGAAGCCTTGTTTTCTTACCTTTTCCCGAGTCGTCCTAGTTCCCTGACGTACCTAACAGTGAAAAACTGACAGTAGCTAGCATTACTTAGGCCCTGACTGGATTCCAACTAATAAATGCTACAGCTCTAAGTACTTCACATATATTGTTTTCTTTAGTCATTAACAACAGTCCTATCTGGTTAGCACTATTACCATGCTCAAATGAGGAAACCAAGGTGCAGAGTTTAAGCAACACAGTGTATGACTGAGATGGAATTAAATCTCAGCAATCACACTCCAGATCTTGCCCTCTTCATCACAACACTTCTCTGCAGTCTCTCCAGTGAGTTCAATCCAATTTTTAAAAACCCAGATTAACGTTTTTCAGGCTGGTCACTTAACTCATGTACCACATTTTGCCTTAAATAACTTTTAGCTATCTTTAAATATGAAACCCTCTACTTTCTTTTACGTACATCCACCAAGAGCCTTCAAATCTGAGATGTGGCTTGTGTGGAAAATAGGGGTATAATACTTATTTGGCATTTTCCAGATGGAAATGGGCTGTGTCCCCAAAAGAAACTTGAAAGGCAGAAGAATTCTAAATGTAAAATCTTACTTTTACATTCTTATAAATAAAAAATATATAAATTCCCACCCAGTCATCTAAAGAACATTTGGCTCCAGTATCAAGGAATTACTGATGGAAAGGAGATATTTTAAGAGTTCCAGATACTGGGGTGCCTGGGTGACTCAGTGGGTTAAGCCTCTGCCTTCAGTTCAGGTCATGATCTCAGGGTCCTGGAATCGAACTGGTATTGGGCTCTCTGCTCAGCAAGGAGTCTGCTTCCCCCCGCCCCCCTCCTGCCTCTCTGCCTACTTGTGATCTCTGTCAAATAAATAAATAAAATCTTAAAAAAAAAAAAAAGAGTTCCAGATACTTAAAATAGACTACTCTTTAATGGATAGGAAGAGGCAAATGTTCTATTTCTGGTGAGAATCTCCGGATTATGCAAGTGGCCTTAAAAATCTTTAGACATGAAAATTACGGGCTTTGGGCTTTGAAGTTGCAAGAATCTGATACCCAGCTGGTGGGAGCACATCCCCAGATGCCACACTGTCATTGCAGATGCTCTTAGCTAGGTAACAAGAGAAGTAATAGGAGCCCTTGGGAAAAAGTTGAAAATGGAGGTAGTTGCCTTAGGGAAATATGCACATCAAAACTACAAAGAGATATTACTTCACACCCATTAGTTTAGCTGCTATCAAAAACACAGAAAGTGTTGGTGAAGATGTGGAAAAATCGGAACTCTTGTGCACTGTTTTGGGAATGTAAAATGGTATAACCACTGTAGAAAACAGTATGGCAATTCCTCAAAAAGTTAAAAATAGAATTACCATATGATCCAGCATTTCTGCTTCTGTGTATATACCCAAAAGAATTAAAAGCATGGCCTTGAAGAGATATTTATATACCCATGTTGATCACAGCACTATTCACAATAGCTAAAATGTGGAAAAAACCCACCCATTGACAAATGAACAGAAATGCAAAATGTGTTATATCCATACAATGGGATATTATCCAGCCTTAAAAAAGGAAGGAAATTCTGACCCTTGCTACATGGATAAAACTCGAGGGCATTATGCTAAGTTGTAATTAGCCAGTTACAAAAAGATAAATACTGGTTCCACTTAATACGAGGTACTTATAAATAGTAGTTACAGAAATAGAAAGTAGAATGGTGGTTGCCGGGGCTGGGGACATTGTGGAATGGGAAGTTATTTTAATAGATATAGTCTCAATTTTACAAGATGAAAAGAGTTATGGAGCTAGATCTTGTTAATAATTGCACAATATTATGAATGTATTTAATACCACTGAGCTATGCACTTAAAAATGGCCAAGATGGTAGGGGCGCCTGGGTGGCTCAGTGGGTTAAGCCGCTGCCTTCGGCTCAGGTCATGATCTCGGAGTCCTGGGATTGAGCCCCGCATCGGGCTCTCTGCTCAGCAGGGAGCCTGCTTCCTCCTCTCTCTCTGCCTGCTTGTGATCTCTCTATCAAATAAATAAATAAAATCTTTAAAAAAAATGGTCAAGATGGTATGTTTTATGTGTATTTATTATAATTTAAAATTGGGGGGAAAATTAGCTAGTAATGCTGACTGGGAATGCATGACAGAGCAATTCTCCTCTTGGCCACACCCTTTCTGCATTCAAATGTTGTTGCTCCAGGGACGCCTGGGTGGCTCAGTTGGTTGGACGACTGCCTTCGGCTCAGGTCATGATCCTGGATTCCCGGGATCGAGTCCCACATCGGGCTCCCAGCTCCATGCGGAGTCTGCTTCTCTCTCTGACCTTCTCCTCGCTCATGCTCTCTCTCACTGTCTCTCTCTCTCTCAAATAAATAAATAAAATCTTTTAAAAAAAATGTATTTGCTCCAGAAAACCACTGGGCTCAAATTAGTGGGGTGGTGGTGATTCACTGCTTTTGGATCACTGTGAGTACAGCTGCACCTGTGGGACCTTCACAGCAATGCATATTGGGAATTGTTATTAAGAGGGAAGAAAGGAGCACAGCTTTGTGAAATGCTAGCTTGATTACTTACAATGCATAATAATGCTTAATTACCAATTTCTCTTTCTCTAACCTAAGGCAGCCTATAAACCAATGAACCATTGTTAAGCCTGTTTACAGAATGTAACCAGGACTCCTCTACCATCTCTTCTTAGAAAAGCTTTTCAAAGGAAGGAAATGCAAGGGAAAGATGAATGATAATAATGGCACCTATCTTTTAGGTCTATATTATGTGCCGAACACTTAGTTCTTTAGAGATGTTATCTCATTTAATCCTCACAAGAAGCCTATGATATCAGTTCTGTTATTATTAGGTCAACCAACCACCAGTTTGCCTGGGACTGAGGCAGGAGAGTGTCTCTGGGATGTATGTCTTTCCATGCTAAAACCAAGTAAGTACCAGGCAAATGAGGCAAGTTGGTCACCCTACTCCCTATTTTACAAATCAGGAAACTGAGACTTTAGTAACTTCCCCACAGACACTCAGCCAAAGACACTCAGCTCATGAAGCTCAGAGCCAGACCTGAACCACCAGGCAAACCTACTTTTAGACGAGGTTCTCATCAAAGTTAAAGCAAGGGCGAGAACCCAGATCTGGCTTATTCTATAAGTTGACATCAGCAATCCATTTCAAACTTACTCCAACTTTCTCAAACTTACCCGATCGTAAGAATTGGGATGCTTGTTTAAAACACAGATTTCAGGGTCCCACCTAGAAGGGGCCTGAAAATTAGTATTTTTTAACAAGTATCTGTGTAATCCTTATGATCAGAAAAGCCTGGGAAGATTGATTTTATCTATAATTACCCCTCATTTAGGTTTGGTTTTGTGTGTTCTGTAAATTCATCTATTTTGTGTTTTCATTGCTATGCCATGGTTTTCTCTTATGTATTAGTGCAAGTTCCTTTGGCTATGCCTAGCTTTGGGTCTGCTGATCTGAGAACAATTCTAACCCTGTCCAAATTGTGCAGATGGGATAATAGGATGCTCCTTAGGGATCAGGTGGTAATAACAGCCACGGTTACAGAGAGCCAGGAAATGGCCAGGCAGGGCTGGGTAAGGAGAAAAATACTTCAGCTACTATAAACTGTAGCTTTCTTCGGCCTACTTGAACCCCTTAGAAGGTCTTAACCTCTCTTGTTAGAAAGGGCAATGTGATGGTTGTGGTTAAAAGTACAGATATCGGAACCAGATTGCTTGGGATTGAATCCCAGCACTAGTAGCTCCTAGCTATGTGACCTCTGGTGAATTCCTTCCCTCTCTGTGCCTCATCTATAAAATGGTTCTTTTTTATTTTTTATTGACATGCAGTTGATATACAGTGTTATATTAGTTTTAGGTGTACAACATAGTGATTCAACAAGTTTATATATTATGCTATGCTCACCACAAGTGTAGTCACCCTGTGTCACCATACAATACTACACAATACCGTTGAGTATATTCCCTATGCTGATCTTTTATCTTTGTAACTTACTTATTCTATAATTGGAAGCCTGTATCTCCTACTTCCCTTCAGCCATTTTAAGATGGTTCTTATATTGGTAATGTCTCTCATAAGTTCTTTCTGGGAATCAAATAGATTAATATTTATAAAATGCCTAGAACTGCTTGGCACAAGAAACTTTTTTGCAAAAAAAAAAAAGTGGAGACCATTAAATTAATGTCTCTAATCCATTTCCATTACATGGAAATTAAGATATCATAGAAGCAGCATGAAATCATCGCCAAAACTAGGAGCGTAGCAGAGGGTAGAGTGGGGTAAGTGGTAAACAGATTGGGTTGTTAAATATTCTCCTGGAAGGGGATATACAAACCTTAACATCAAAAGCAGGAGACGGCTTTCCCATTGAGCCAGGCTTAATTTTCATTCCCTTAAAATTTCCGCAGATTAGCACCTAGTTCAGAAGGAAAAAGAATCAAGTAACATTATAAGTAACTTAAAATTCATTCATTCATCTACCATGCATTCATTAAACAAACATTTCTTGATGATCATCATTATTATGATGAGCAAGTCTCAAAATAAAACAAATTTCTGCTCTCGTGGAGTGTAGAGATAGACACTAAACAAATACATAAAGTTACAACACTTAGTAAATTGATAATTACTAAAATATCCACATTAATCAAAACATTTGTACCCATATTAGCATGATACTTATTATGCTGCTTCTATTTCATACATCTGTCAATTTTAGGTATTTTAATTTTTGAGCAGGCACTATAGTCTCATGGTTTATAAATAGAAGCATTATAAAAAGACACTCTATGAAAAATTTTTCAACCTTTCCCTTATCTGCTCCATTGTATGCCTCCTTTTCCTTACATAATAATCAGTCTTGTTAGTAGCTTATTCATTTCCTCTAGAATTCTTTCTTATTCTTATTTCTACAAGCTCTTTAAATAACTCTTTGTAGAAATATACTTGCTCAGGAGTTATGTAGTGAACTCTTAATATTTCAAGTAACAAGGAGCTCAGCATTTTACATGTTTGAGGCAACTCTAAGAGAGTTCCCTCTTACATAAGGGGAAATCTTTCTGTAGATCTAGTATTCTTTCACTTAAAATATATTGTAATGCCTTCACTCTGATCGTCTCTATTGTGGCTTTTCTCAGTAAATGGCTAAACAACTGTATCTGTTACAGGGCTTTTATGCAACTAGCTTCCCTTACAACTTTTTTTTTTAAACTATTCTTCTAACCACTCACCTTCCTCCCTATCTCTCAATCATAAGGATATAATAAACACGTATTTTAAAATTTATTTATCAGTTATTTATATTTATGTATCAGTTTTTATTTATCCAGCTAAGTCGAGTCCAGCCTTGTCTTTTCAATGAGGTCCTATACCGTTTCAGTCTGTCCGTATCCTTCATAGATATCCAGACCTGTCCTTTTTCTCCATTGTTCAGTCACTTCAGGATTGATTGGTTCACCAGCACTCACACAGTGCTTTAAGCTTTTAAATTTATAGCTTCTCAGAAAACAGGTAAGTTAAATTTAGGAGAAAAAATGGAGAGAAATGAAAATTAAAGTTATTTCTAAGAAATTCAATGTAAAGTGTGTTTTAGTTCCCTCCTTCCTCCCCTCGCCAATACAAAATAAACCATTCTAACATTGTAAGGTGACTCCTAAAACATCCTTTTTTTTTCCCTACTTTTATTTTTTGGGAGTGTATGATTTGTTGCCAAAAAAAAAAAAAAAAGCCATGTCACCTCAGGGAAGGTGCTACATGATAACATTTTAAGTCAGTGATTAAAAATTTACCAATTGGGGCACCTGGTTGGTTCAGTAGGTTAAAGCCTCTGCCTTCGGCTCAGGACATGATCCCAGGGTCTTGGGATCGAGCCCTGCATCGAGTCCCACATCAGACTCTCTGCTCAGCAGGGAGCCTGCCTCCCCCTCTCTCTCTGCCTGCCCCTCTACCTACTTGTGATCTCTGTCAAATAAATAAATAAAATCTTAAAAAAAACAATTTACCAGTTGTGTGGTTAAATTGACTGGAATATTATGCAATGGAATACTATAGAGCGGTAAAAAAAAAAAAAGAATAAGGAAAACTCCTAGACAGTGCTGTCCAACAGAAATTTTTGCCACAATCAAAGTGTTCTATTATCTGCACTATCCACTGCAGTATCATCTAGCCCTATGTGGCTATTGAGCGCTTGAAACATAGCTAGTGCAACTTTGGAACTGAATTTTTAGTTAATTAAAATTAAATGTAAGGGGCATCTGGGTGGCTTAGTGGGTTAAAGCCTCTGCCTTCGGCTCAGGTCATGATCTCAGGGTCCTGGGATCGAGTCCCGCATCGGGCTCTCTGCTCAGTGGGGATCCTGCTTTCCCCCCCTCTCTCTGCCTTCCTCTCTGCCTACTTGTGATCTCTGTCTGTCAAATAAATAAATAAAATCTTTAAAAAATTTTTTAAAAATTATATTTAAGTAATTACATGGAGCAATATTTACCATATTGGATAGAACTGGATAGCACACAGTTCCAGTATATATTTTTAGGCAAAAAAGGGAAGGTACAGAACCGTGAACATATTATGTTTCCATTTATGTTTTTTGTGTGTTTGTTTTGTTTATATATTTATTTATTTTTATTTGACAGAGATCACAAGTAGGCAGAGAGGCAGGCAGAGAGAGAGGAAGGAAAGCAGACTCCCTGCGGGTCTTGATCCCAGGACCCTGGGACCATGACCAGAGCTGAAGGCAGAGGCTTTAACTCACTGAGCCACCCAGGCACCCCTCCATTTATGTTTATAAAAGGGTGAGAATACTGGCATATTGGCTTGTGTTTGCACAGATTTCACGGAGGAGAACTGAGATGGAGGACAAGGCTTAGAAAAAGAACTTTCACTCTGTATTTTTACACACCTATTGAATTTTATGTTGTATGAAATACTCCCTATTCAAAAAGTTTTTAAAAATTTTAACAATTCAAAAATATTTACCAATGCACACTTTCAAATGGAATCAGTAATAGAGCAAAAGATATCTATCCTTTCTTCTATTTGCTGGACTAGAGTTCTAAATAGGGGTTATTTTTCTGGTTTCTCAGCTCAGGCAACATTCATCATCTAAAAGATTAAGCACTGGGGCACCTGGGTGGCTCAGTGGGTTTAAAGCCTCTGCCTTCAGCTCAGGTCATGATCCCAGGGTCCTGGGATCGAGCCCTGCATCGGGCTCTCTGCTCAGCGGGGAGCCTGCTTCCTCCTCTCTCTCTGCCTGCCTCTCTGACTACTTGTAATCTCTGTCTATCAAATAAATAAGTAAAATCTTTAAAAAAAATTAAAAAAAATAAAAGATTAAACACCTTTTATCCATAACCACTGGGCTCCAAAGGGGTACACCCACGGCTGAACCCTCCCTCTCCTCTTCTTGTTTGGGGGAGCCTGCCCTGGACCTAATAATTACGACTTAAAGAATGAGAGCAAGAAGGAAAAGGGGGACAAGAGATTGTTAAACTCCATACCTACCAATGTGGAACTATGTTTTTAATAGTTCTATGTTTTTAACAGAAATAGCCTTTATTTTATGGCTTCCTTTTCTTCTCCCCTAACCCCACTAAGTGCCTATTTACCAACCTGCTTACCTGGTCATATCATTCTGTATAAGCATTCGGTATGCAGTTGGTGCTGAACAGAAGACTGTGATGGGAAACTTGGAAAGTGTCTGCAATTTAGAAGTAAACTCTTAGTCTTACTACAACTTTAAAAATAAGTCCCTAAATGTTTATGGTAGGCACAGCACAACTTAAACGTTGTTTATTCCAACATAAATGTATTCACACCTTTCCTTTGTATATCTTTTCAGGATAATTGACTTTCCAGGTATGAAATATCTTAAATCATGTTGTCTACTCTGATTTCTGCAAGTTGCTTTATTTATCAGTCCTGTCAGGGACACTGCTAAAGCATTCCTGAATAGTGACCTCTTGCGCCCTGGGCCTTACTTGCAAGATGGAAGTTGGCTCGAAACGTGGCAAATAATGTGCAAATACACATGCTCCCTGGATCCATGGAGAAAAGACACTACTCCATGCCGACTTTGCCCAGCCTGTGTCTGAGGTATTCCATATCACATCTGAAGGAGTCAAATCCAGCCAGAACCTGGGAAAACAAAGAATAGTCCTGATATATATAAGGAAAACAAATTGAAAAGATCAACAAATGAATTATCACCTTTGTAGTTTTGACACGTCAAGCTGGAGTTCTGTGAAGGTACCTTCCATTTACAGATAATCCTAAACCAAAACTGCTATGAGTGTGTCCAGTCATTTTAGGGGATCCGCTTGTTCCACTGGTAAAGTAAATGGACATCATCTCATCGTGTTTTGTCTTCACACAGGTGTGGCTGTCACTGGCATGTCTGCAAAGGAAGAACTACATTGATTCTGCACATTGCACGTGGCATCATGAACTGTTACCACAGAAAAGAATTCAAGAAACCATCTACATGGACCTCTTCACCTCATGGATCAGGGCCCGGTGACTTAGGTTGAATTCCGAGGTAAAAGTCATCTCTTTATCTTCATAGGTGCTTTCTGGAATTAAACTAAATTTTGTCATCAAAGCCCATTTATAATAGGCTTATAATTGGTTTCATAGCTTTTTACTATGTGATAAAAAAGAGCTGAAGCATTTTAAAAAACTCAAGTGTTTTATCATACCGTCAGCAGAATGAGGAATCTTTGATCTTATAATCAAGACTACGTGAGAATGGCCCCTTCCCCTTCACTGTGGATGTTTTCAAGTGATTTTTTTTTTTTTAAGGAAGTGAGTATGTGATTAGAAGTCATGGGTGATGGTATAAGGCAAGATGGTAATTCCCACATTGTTCAAGAATCGGATGTAGATCCAATGGATAACTGGGCTGCTAATAGGTCATACATTAGAGCACCTGAGAAGAGGTAAGCTCTGTACATACAGTGCCTAAAAAGCATAGAGATTTTATCTGGGAGTGTTGGGCTGAGAATGAAACATTAGAATTAGAAACATCCAGGGGCACCTGGAGGCTCAGTGGGTTAAAGCCTCTGCCTTTGGTTCAGGTCATGATCTCAGGGTCCTGGAATCAAGCCCTGCACTGGGCTCTCTGCTCAGTGTGAAATCTGCTTCCCCCTCTCTCTCTGCCTGCCTCTCTGCCTACTTGTGATCTCTGTCTGTCAAATAAATAAATAAAATCTTAATTAAAAAAAAGAATTAGAAACATCCAGGGGTGCTTGGGTGGCTCAGTTGTTGGGTGTCTGCCCTCAGCTTGGGTCATGATCCCAGGGTCCTGGGATTGAGCCCCGCATTGGGCTCCCTGCTTAGCAGGAAACCTGCTTCTCCTTCTCCCACTCCCCCTGCTTGTGTTCCTTCTCTCGCTGTGTTTCTGTCAAATAAATAAATAAAATATCTTAAAAAAAAAAAAAGGAAGAAACATCCAGGCTACAAGAATTATAGAAAAGTTGTTTTAAAAGCCTAATGAAGCTAGACTAAGTGTTTAGTCTATGATTCCATAATTTCTTCCTTAAAAATAGTACCTATAGCTATGTACGTTTCATTTCTATAGAAACCTAAGGTGGGGTTATCATACCAATTTCACCACTAGAGGCTGTAAACGTAGCAGGAGTGTGGCCTCAGGTGCCAGACTCCCTGGGTTTGAAACCCAGCTCTGCCAAATCCTAGCTTTTGGCCTTATTCACGTGTATTACTGTAGTACACATTCTTAAGTTATTGTGACATGTAAATGAGTTAATATATGTGAAATGCTTGGGACAGTTTTTGGCACATAAACAAAGCCATATAAATATTACCCAAGTTGCAAGTATAACATTTTTAATTAGCACAGTACTTGGCTTTTGGTAAAATCTCAGTAAATGTTAGCTATTTTAGAGGAGGTAGGAATAAGTATGTAGTTGCAAACATACTCCCAATTCCTTGGGTAAAGGTGGGAAGCTCATTCTAGAGAGGGAACTGGCTGCCAACTGAAAACTAAGATAGAACCAATACTGGGCGAGAGTGCTAAATGACCCCTGGAAGCATTCTACAGAAGGGACTGAACATCAGTGTAACTTAGTTTTATAATAGCATCCATTAACATTAAGTGTTTTTGTTTATAACCCGAAGTGTTGGCATCTGCAAGGAAATGATATAGCCTACGCGTAAGAACTGATGATCAGTTTCTCTGGGTGACGATAACAGCTCTGTGTTGGTGCTATGAATGCACCTCCTAGATTGGGCTGCAGGAACGAAGGACTTACTCCCCACAGCTGCTCGGAGCCCTATTCAGAGATAGCTTTGGCTGAAGAGAGCTGCCTCGCTCAAGGTCATCCCTTCCTTCTAGGGAAAGCACACGCTCAGTTACTGATCAGTAATGGTATATAAAGGCCAGGACCTTTTGCTTTATCTTGGAACAGCTTTGAAGGACTATCCAAGCCCCAGAGTACCAGTGGATTAGCTGAAGGTTTTTCTGGGAGTGCATGGCAGATAAATTTCTTCTTTTGCTCAGTCCCCCTCCTTGCCCTTCTTTCATAGATGTTGACCCCAAGACAAATCCTTAATAAACTTCTTACACAACCGATCTCTATCTCAGGGCCTGCTTCCTTCAAGATCCTAACATACAAAAACCACTCCAAGCTCCTGCCTGCCTCAGAGCTTTGCAGATTATTAGTGCAGGAGTAATCACCAGTTTTTCCCTTTGCCTCGTTTTAATTTTCATTTTTCTGATCACTTGTGGGTTGAATATCTTTTCAATTATTGCCTTTCTTTCTGGGGAAGCTGTTCTTTAACAGTTATGGCTACTCACTTCATCATCTCCTTGAGGTTCCCCCAACCGTCTTTGGGTTTCTGAGACACAATTAGCTTGGAGTGCAGATTTTCACATTTAGATGCAACAGCATCTACTGCTGGGGCTAAAACTTCGTTGGTAATAATGCACTTGGCTTTCGAAGACTGCAGTCTGTAGAGAATGTCTTTCTGGGTCAGCTGAGTGGTTCCTGGAATTAAAACTGTCCCTGAAGGAGCAGAAGAAAACAACATATAGAAGGAAGGATTTTCTTTATCGTGTTAGTTACTGTACTATAGATTGCTCCTGTGTCCTCTCTGTGTCTCAGAATGAGTTTGCCATTCAGTTTACCAGTCTAGGTAGTCTATTTGCCTTCCTTTCATTATTCTGCTTTTGCCTTTCAAAGCATCTCAATATCTATGTCCCTTTTGACCGAACATGAAAGCATGTTAAAAGCTGGCTAATTTTCTTCTATCTGAAGACAATTCATAACATTCAGCTTGAAGACAGGTTTGTTTTTTTTTTTTCATTTTTTTGAAGACAGTTTTGACTGAAGAGTTATATTATCCAATATTTATAGGCTAAGTGCCAGATGCTAGTATAAGTGCTTTGCACGTTTTAACTTATTTAATCCCTACAAAAAAACCCCATAAAATCTATGAATAATTTGCCAAAGATCACTGGAGTAGAAAGTAGCAGTGCAGGGATTGAACTCTGTAGCCTGACCCCATAGCTGTACTTGTAACTACTTCAGTCCAGCACCTTTTAAAACGTACATAAATGTTTTATGATTTCTTTCCAAAGGGAGGGATTGAGGCATTCATCTTTTCAGTGCTTCTACTTCTCCCTGCTGTAAATTACACTGTAAGTGTAGTATAATTGTTAAGAGTCTGTCCTGCAGCCAAACAGTCTTATCAGTTGGCCTTGGAAAAGCCACTTCATCTCCATGAGTCTCAGGTTCTACATCTGTATAATGGGGATTCTTTAAGATTAATGAGGAGTAAATGAGTTAAAATGTGTAAAGAGTGCTGAATAAATTTTAGCTATTATTTTCTCAAAGGATTATTGGAATTTCAAGAATGTATCTGGATCTGTATCTATAGTTATATGTATCCATATCTATATCTCGGGCTCTACCACTCTCAAGTCCAGACCCTAGAGAGAGGGGTGGAAGTTATGCACTGAGCAGTGGTGTCTACTCTTCCCAGCGTCACAGCAGGAATGGAAGATTGAAGAACATGTACCTGCTCATTCCTGGACTCTCGACACTGGCTTGTCTTTCCCTTTGGGGAAGGACAGTCCCCTCCAGTGGAGATATTCAGGAAACAGACAACCAGGACCAAAACCCAAAGTTCTTCAGAATATCTTTCTTTTCTAATCAGGTAATGCAGCATTGTTTATGAGTCTTTAAATCCAAGGTCATTCCTTAGAGATGATCCATCTGGGGATAATTAATTAACCTACCATGGCCTAACAGTTTTCTATAATTTAAAAGCACTCTGTAAGAACAAGCCCACTGCCAGCATTTCATGCCTAGCTGAAGCGCTTTATTTAAACACATCACCCTTAGATAATTAATTCCTGCTAATACATTATTCATATTCTATCTGTAAAGAACCTATGAATAGTGATCAGTCTTACCTATTAAAACTACTTCCTGTCCAAATTAGTCATTTAGGGAAACATTACATAGTCTCTTGCCAGGGAACAAAATGTTACTTTAAATCTTAGTGGGGGGACATCGCTTCTTGGCCTTTTGGCTAAGATCAAGTGTAAATCTTGGGGAAGGCCTCTTATTACCGTGTTGATGATATAGGGTGTACAAAATGATATTACCAATATGTACATTTGCATGAAGGGTCAAAAGACTCTGGTACTAGTAGTCCCTTCTCTGCCTGTTAACAGATCTACATGAAAAGACAAAGTTTTTCCAGAAGTTTGTTTGGTGGATGAAAAAAGTAACTTTTGTGATTCAATTTGGCAACAGGATTTGAAAGCCTAGCCTATCCACCCATCCATCTAGATGGTAGATAATGCTTATTTTCAGCATTGTTAGTATATTAGATTTACCATTTACTGTCTCCCTTTCATTCTCCCTTCCAGGAGAATCTGCCTTCCTTTCTGCAGCCCCAATAACTATGTTTGTATCCGATGCACCTGCCTCTGACCACATCTGACTGGCCCAACCCAAGCCATGCCAGTCAGATTCTGCCTCAAGTATTTGATTTAAGAGACTGAGTAGGAGACATACAGAGTTAGGGGCTAAGGCATCTGTGTAGCAAACCAAGCCACATGTCAGGGAAAATGAAGGGGAGCAAAGAAATCATGTGTTAGTAGAAAGAAGTCAAAGGAACATATGCTTAAGGGATACAGAGACAGGAGGCCCTATGGCTTTAAAGCAAAAGAAATGGAGAAAGAAGCCAGTTGCTCTGTCTGTATTTTTTGTCCCCTGTAGATCCTTCCATAGATGTTCAATAATTTTCCTTCCTTACTGAACTAATATATATTAAATGGATTTCTGGTCCTGGCAGTCCAACGTGTTGCCCCTTTACTAAGACAGTGAGCTTAAGCAGCATTCATGAAAGCTATCACTTTGTTTCCAGAAAAAAAAAAAAAACACTGTTAAAAGTGGGCTCTGCTACTCTAGTGTACAATTCATCGGTACATATGATATGAGAACATGTAACTCAAATGCAGGTAATTATGATGAATTAAGAATGTTTACTCAATATAATTATTTATTAAAACAGTAGGGATATTAATTAATTCAACAAATATTTTACCGAGCATTTACTATATGCTGGTAATTGAAGGTACAGACATGTCTATCTTAGTCATTGGCTTTTAGGAACATACATAGTCCTAGGGGAATGACAAATTTATTCCAAATAGACACTCAGACACTACAGTACAGGTTAAAATAGAAACATATACATGTTTTCTAGGGGATGTCAAAAAAGAAAGCACCTGAATTGGGACATCAGGGTAGGGTTGCCTGAGAAGTGATATTAGAGTTGAGACCTGAAAATCTAATAGAAGTTGTCCAAGTGGTTAGGTGTGAAGGAAAGGCTTTCCAAGTACAGGAAATAGTATGCACAAAATCCAGGAAAAGAGAAAGATCATGAACCTTATAGGAAACCATTTGATATGGCTGGAGCAGAGAGTATGAAAACAATGACGGGAGGAGATCAAACCTTCCGTGACACGCCTAAAGAAGTTCTGATTTTACATAGTAGGCAATGGAGAATTATTAAATAACATCAAGCAGCATATTGACAGGATGAAATATGCATTCTAGAAAGAACGCTAGCTATGGAGGATGAATTGGATTGGAGTAAGGTGTGGGCACACACAAGATCAGAAATAGGGAGACTTTTGGGCAAATCCATTCAAGAGATGCCAAACGTGTGAACTAAAGCAATGGCGATGGGATTGGAGGAGGAGGACAACTCTGGGGACATGTAAGAAGTCAGAGTTACAAGATGTAGGAACTGATTTGGAAGGAGGAGTAGCAGCTGCTTGCTTTGGGCACCAGATAAATGGCAATTAACCATGAGAGAAATAAAGGCATGAAATGAGAACTTTGAGTTTGTGGCTGCATTGAGTTTCAGATGACAGTGGGTCTATAGAAGGAAAACAGTGGTAGGTATGAGGGTATTCCATTGTTGATTGGCAATTGGTTAATAAACCTATTTCATTATGAAAAACCTAACTCATAGTTTAGGTCAAAAGATATGGTGTGTTTCCAACACATTTCTAAGGTTCCTGAGAAGAATACTATATTGTATACAGTTCCTCAAATAATTTACCCAAATAACTGTCTCATGATTACTTACAGTTTTGGTAGATCTCCCATCCAGTCTACTTTAAATGTAATCAGATTTCAAACACTACTAACCTGTTCGCAGACAGGCTACATTTGCAAGCCACCATTCTGGGATCTTGGGAAGAATCACAATTACTCTATCTCCTCTTTGCAGGGAACAGGCTTCTGTAAGTATATTGGCAAATTTCCTAGACAAAGATCCCAGTTCCTCAAAACTCCATCTCACTTCTTCTCCATTTCCATTTATCCACCAGAAGGCTGGATTGGAAGGTCTCTTTCCAGCCTGAGGAAAGGCACACCAGATGATTTAAAGCTCCTGATGCAGCTTAATTCTATTTTAACTGACTCAGTGGAATATTTTCTCAGAAGAAAATTCATAGGTCTTTAATTAGGTCACATGGGGAAATTTGGAAATAACTCTGGGGTCTTCATTTCTAGCTGTCAGGAGCCCCGTTTTGTTTTGTTTTGTTTTTTAAAGATTTTATTGATTTATTTGACAGAGAGAGAGATCACAAGTAGGCAAAGGAGGGGTGGGGGGGAAGCAGGCTCCCCACTGAGTGGATAGCCTGATGCAGGGCTTGATCCCAGGACCCTGAGGCCATGACCTGAGCTGAAGGCAGAGGTTTAGCCCACTGAGCCACATAGGCACCCCTGTCAGGAACCATGTTATTTTTCATTTAGCCTGATTGTTTTTCTTTCCAAAAAGTTAGAATTCTTGCATCCTTTTATGTTCTCTCATTGCTATATCTATACCTCATTCCCTACCATTTCTGACCATTTCTGACTTTCATACTACTACTTTTTGGTATTTTTAAGAAGTTAACCTATGGGGTGCCTGGGTGGCTCAGTGGATTAAAGCCTCTGCCTTCGGTTCAGGTCATGATCTCAGGTTCCTGGGATTGAGCCCCGCATCGGGCTCTCTGCTCAGCAGGGAGCCTGCTTCTTCCTCTCTCTCTGCCTGCCTCTCTGCCTACTTGTGATCTCTGTCTGTCAAATAAATAAATAAAATCTTAAAAAAAAGAAGTTAACCTATAATCATACCTTTTTATAAACCAGGCTTTCTCAACTATGAAACTATTAACATGTTGAGCCACATAATTTTTTGCTATGGGGGACTGTCCTTGTATTAGAGGATACATAGCAGCATCCCTGGCCAAAATTGTTTCCAGACATTCGCCCTGGGGGCAAAATCACTTCTATCTGAGAAACTGTAGTTGGACTGGCCCTTGTTCCTTACCTTTTCCACATTGGTCCATTCGTCCAGGACATCTTTAGCAAAGTTGAAATACTCTGGAATCTCCAGTCTGAATTCCTGTTTCATAGATTCATAATTGGAAAAATTCTGAGGTGAAACTGTTCTGTAATCTTTATGTAGTACTCTCACAGAACCAGGGATTGCGAGGCGCTGAAAACACTTGGCACGAAGTAATGTCTCCATGGTGACAAGAGCTAGCATCAGTCTTGCTGGAAGTGTTAGCACTCAGGATTTCCACAGAAGCCGGTTCATCTAAAAGACAAGCTAATGAACATGCATTTGTCTCTGTCCTAAAGGTAGCCATACCACAAAGTAGCTAAGTTTTATTATTATTTATAATCATCATACAAGTGCCATTCTCTGAGCACTCAATATGTTTCGAACACCGTACTCAGTGCTTTACTTACATATGAATTATAGTAAATTTTCAGAGTAACTCTGTGAAGTGGATATTATCATCTCTGTTTACAGATAGAAAAAATTACTAAGAGGCTGTCTTAGTGAACTCTGGCCACCATAAGAAAATACTATAGACAGGCTGGTCAAAACAACATTTATTTCTCACAGTTCTGGAAGCTGGGAAGTCCAAGATCAACTGCTAGCCAATTCAGTTCCCCCGTATGGGCTCTGTTCCTGACTTTGCAGATGACAACTTTCTCTTTATGTACTCACATGGTAGAGAGAGTGAGAGCTCTGGTTTTTCTTCTTCTTCTATTAGGATACTAAGCCCATCATTGGGGCCTCACCCTTATGACCTCATCTAAACCTAATTACCTCCCAATGACCCCACCTCCAAATACCATCACATTTTGGGGGTTAAGGTTTCAACATATGAATTTGGAGAGAGGCACAAACATTCAGTACACAACAAAGGCACTAGCTGGATTTGAACCTAGAGCTGTCTGGTCCCAGCCCATTTTCCTGACTATGTACTGCATGCTATTGTCTCCCATATGCATTTCGAAAGAAGTAAAGATCTGAGTCACCCAGTTACTCCCAGTGAAAGCAAAGATATCTAATATATTTCACCTGCATTTCAAAAGTTATAGAGACATGTTAAGGAGAAATTTCCACAGTGGATAATCCATAAGTGAAGAAATAGAGTAACCTAGTACCAATTAGGCATGAAAGAACTGTCAAAAATCGTTTAGTTTATAGGCTGTAGTTCCCATGCTCCCAAATAGGAGCCCACACAACCTTCGAGTCCAGACTTGGAGCTGCGTTTACCAGAGATGTCATCACAGGTCTTTAACCTTTGGGACTTTTGTGGGGGAGGACCCTCCAGGCCACCTAGCCCTCCCTGTTTCTGTGGGAATTCATCTGATCATGATGTCATTTACCTGGCTGAGATCTCATAAACAAGGTTGTTAAAAACATGGTTCTAGAGATGATAGGGTTCTTCTTCATACTTTCTGTAATTTTCCAAATTTCCTACAATGAAATACTACTCTCACAATCATTAAATCATTTTTTTATAGAGGGAGGGGCAGAGGGAAGGGAGAGAGAGAATCTTAAGGAGGCCTCACTCATGGAGCCTAATGCAGGACTGGATCTCACAACCCTAAGATCCTGACCTAAGCCGACACTTAACCGACTGAGCCACCCAGGCACCCTATCATTAAGTCATTTTTAACTGCAGCTCTAGCTGTGCAGTATGTAAGGCAGTGTGGCTATGTGGAAGAGTTTCTGTATTGATGCATTGCCAAATAATGGATATCATCCATAAGTTTAATCCTAAATGGGCCTGGTGTTTAGGCATCATGTTGCTGCACCCAATGCACTGGGAGATCTAGGTACTTCTTCTGACCCTCCCACATCTTTATGTGACAACCTGACAAGTCACTGAGCTTGAGTCCTCTGAGTTCATCTGGTTTGATCTCCTCATTTTTTGGAAAGAAAATGGAACCCCAGAGAGGGGAAGCAACTCACTTCAATAGGTCATGTCAGAGTGAGAACTAGAACTCATGTCTGTGGATTCCCATTTCAGTGTTCTCTTTACTATAGTTCAATAGGATTCAGTAGAGCAGTGATTCTCAACTCTTGATGTGTATTTGAATCACCAGGAAAGCTTCTTTTTTTTTTTTTTAAATACCAATGCCTGGGGCTTAGACCAATTAAATCGAAATCTCTAGGGGTGGGGCCAGGGCATCATATTTTTTAAAAATTTCCTCAGAGGATGCTAATGTGCAATCAAGGTTGAGAATCACTCATCCAGAGGTGATCTGTGAGCCAGCAGATCAGCATCACCTGGAAGCTGGTGAGAAATGTACATTTTTGGGCACCTGGATGGCTCAGTCATTAAGCATCTGCCTTTGGCTCAGGTCATGATCTCAGGGTCCCAGATAGAGCCCCACATCGGGCTCTTGCTCGGAGGGAAGGCTGCTTCTCCCTCTGCCCCTCCCCCAGCTTGTGCACACACTCTCTCTTCCTCTCTCCCAAATAAATAAATAAATAACTTTTAAAATATTTACTTATTTGACAGAGAAAGACACAGTGAGAGAGGGAACACAAGCGGAGGGAGTGGGAGAGAGAGAAGCAGGCTTCCCACTGAGCCGGGAACCTCTATCAGAGCAGGAACGTCTATCAGAGAGTTGTCACAAAGATTAAATGAGATAATGCATGCAAAATGCTTATCATGGTGTCTTGCCTATTGCTACCCACCCACTGGAGTAGGGGTCAGCAAACTTTTTCTGTAAAAGTCCAGATAGTAAATATGGCTTTGTGCACCATATGGTCTCTGTGGCAACAGTTTACCTCAACTCTGGTTAAGATAGCAGCCACTGACAGACAATACATGACTAAATGGGCATGGCTGTGTTCCAAACAAAACCCATTTATGGATATTAAAACTTGAACTTCATGCAATTTTTTTTTTAAGATTTATTTATTTGAGAGAGAGAGAAAGCACATGCAGGGGGAGGGCCAGTAGGAGAAGGAGATAGAGACTCCCAAGCAGACTCCCTATGGAGGGTGGAGCCTGATGCAGGGCTTGATCGTATAACCCTGAGATCATGACCTGAGCCCAAACCAAGAGTTGGACGCTCAACCAACTTTGCCACCCAGGTGCCCCTCATGTAATTTTCATATGTCATGAATTAGTATTCCTCTTTTGACTTTTTTGAAATATTTGAAAATATAATATAAAACCATTCTTGGTGGGGCGCCTGGGTGGCTCAGTGGTTTAAAGCCTCTGCCTTCAGCTCAGATCATGATCCCAGGGTCCTGGGATCAAGCCCCACATCGGGCTCTGTGCTCAGCGGGGAGCCTGCTTCTCTCCCTCTCTCTCTGCCTGCCTCTCTGCTAACTTATGCTTTCTGTCTGTCAAATAAATAAAATCTTTAAAAAAAAATTTATTGGTTTGTAGCCTGTATAAAAACAGACAGAAGGCTGGATTTAACTCATGGGCTGTAGTTCACTGATCTTTGGTGCTACAGTATAGGTTTTGTGAGGGTGGGCATTTTGTCTGTTATGTTCATGGTACTATCCCTAGGAAATAACATAGTGTTTGGCTCCCAGTATGTGCTTATTTTTTGAATGAATAAATGATGTTTTCAGAAGGGAGAACTTTGTATATGGTTTATTTCTATAGCTAAAGGTTATATTAGACCTGAAAAGTACCTCTATTGCTTAACCAAATTTATATGACTACATGTACTGTTCATATATGGCTATTTAAATTTAAATTTAATACTATTTAAAAACACTGGCTGCATTTCAAATGCTTAACAGCCACATGTGACTAGTAGCTACTGCATATAGGTAACTGCAAACACAGAACATTTCTATCATTGCAGAACATTCTTGTAGACAGTGCTGACCTATATTGACAATCGCTGAGAAATGGATGATATGAAACATTAAAATACAGGCAGTTGGGGCGCCTGGGTGGCTCAGTGGGTTAAGCCTCTGCCTTCTGCTAGGGTCATGATCTCAGGGTCCTGGGATCGAGCCCCGCATCAGGCTCTCTGCTCAGCAGGGAGCCTGCTTCCCCCTCCTCTCTCTGCCTGCCTCTCTGCCTACTTGTGATCTCTCCCTGTAACAAATAAATAAACAAAATCTAAAAAAAAAAATACAGGCAAACTGAGGTGAATGGTTTCCCAGGTAAGATTTTTCCAAGGGTTTCCAAGGGGTTAGGATTAGCAAAGTACTGCCTCCCACTGTTGTCTTGTTTGGCAGTAAGGGTTGAGTAGAGAGGGAACCAACCTTCTCTGCTATTTGCTGGCAAGTTATAGCCCACACATTTGGCAGTTATCTGCCATATTACAGAATTAGTGTCAGGGCTCCTTCAACTGAAGGAAGAAGTTAAGTAGTACTTAAAACTATGTTTTTAGTGTTGTGACTTTTTCTCTTTATTTTCAATTTTTTAGAGAAGGTCTTCAAATGGTTCAAATGTTAAATGTTCAAATGTTAAAAATTACAGTGAAAAATTGCGCCCTTCCCCCCACCACCGCCCACCCACCTGGGTGGCTCAGTCTGTTAAGTGCCTGCCTCTTCATTTTGGCTCAAGTCATGATCTCAGGGTTGTGAGGTTCAGCCCATGTATGGCTCCACACTGGGCATTGAGCTTGCTTAAGATTCTCTCTCTCCCTCTCCATCTGGCCCTCCACCCTCTCTAAAAAAAAAAAAATGCCCTTTCCCACCCCCATCTCACAGCTGCCCAGTTTCATCCCAACCCACTCCCTCCAGGAACTATGATTAGTTCTATGTATCTCTTTAGGATTTCTTTCCATGTATTTCAGCAGATGACTATAGATCCTTATTTCTTCACCACTTTGACACAACAGGTAGCCTAGAATACTACACTGTTCTTGTAGTTTAAAATTTTTTTATAACAAATTCTTGAAGGTCCATCCATGTCAGTACATGAGGATCTTTCTCATTTTGTTTTGTTTTCGTTTTTTTTTTAAAGAGCTGCATGGCATTCCAGTGAACAACTGTACCATAATTTCTTTTTTTTTTTTTAAGATTTTATTTATTTATTTGACAGAGAGACAGATCACAAGTAGGCAGAGAGGCAGGCAGAGAAAGGAGGATGCAGGCTCCCTGCCAAGCAGAGAGCCCAATGTAGGACTCGATCCCAGGACCCTGAGATCATGACCTGAGCTGAAGGCAGAGGCTTAACCCACTGAGCCACCCAGGCACCCCTATGTTTACAGCTTTTTGTGTGCACATACTCTTAGATAGACTTACACAGCAGCTGAGAAATTCTGATAGAAACACTTGGGCTGCCTAAGACTTCCATGAGAACATTTTTGGTCTGTTGCTTTTGGTTGCTTTTTTGTTATCTTGGCTCAAAAGTGTGCATGCCAGACCAGCAAACCTTACATAGGAGACAGATAGGGTAGTACTCACTAAAGTGACGGATTCCGACACAGCTGAGGTGATGGCAGACCAGTTTCCTGGGAGAGCAGTCCTGAAACTTGAACTCTCGCTTCTGTGTTAGTTCTGGCAGTAGCCAAAAGAAGAGGGAGAAGTAGTAGTCTGACAACTGGAAGACGCCAGACATACCCAGACGGCCTTTCCTGGATTGGTAGAGACATTCCAGAGGGAGGAGCCAGAGTGCTGGGCTAAGATTATGCTCAAAATTTATGCAATCTCCTGCCACCCTCCAATTCATAGTTAATGATTTAAATACACTGCAAGCTTTTGCTGGTGGGGGGGTGGGGATTGGGAAAGTAATTTATTCACAGGAAGGGAAGTGCCCATGGAGTTGCTGGAGGGTTTGGACTTGTGAAGGGGTAGAGCAAGTTTTATCTCAGAAGGAAGAAAGAACCAAGTATGGAAGAGGACATAGAAGAGTTTTTAAATGGAAAACAAAGACGTTAAGTGGCGCATTTGAGTTGTTCTACACCTCAGAGAACCAGTTCCTGTGTTTACCTGTTTAACTGGTCAGGACTAAACATAAATGCTCTCAGGTTGCTCCTTTGCTCATATCCTGCAGTACTTCCCAGTTTACTCCAGGTAAAATCTCAAGTCCTTACCTTGACTACAAGGAACTGTGTGATCTGGCACAGGGTTCTCTCTGACCCATCACCTGCTCCCCCTTCCCTTACTCAGCTGGGGCCACATTGGCACTCTTGCTTTTTTTTTTTTAACATACCATGCATGTTCCAGCCTTGGGATTTTTTGCACTGCCTGGAACACTCTTCCCTTAGATACCCCATGGCTAAATCCCCATTTTATGAGGTATCCTATCAAAGAGGTCTTCCCTTACTACATTTTCTAAAATAGCACGCCTCAATTTTTCTCTTTAATCTGTTTTAACTTTTTACATCTCTTACCACCACCCTTAAGAGTAAGAAATTTGTTTTGTTTGCTGATACATCATTGTTGTGATGCGTTACAACAGTTGTCTAGAACACTTAGTGACAAATTTTAGGCATTCAATAAGTAATTGATGGGTAAATGAATAAATAAATAATTTTTTCAGTTACATGTGACAGAAACCCAATTTAGATTCACTTAAGCAAAATGAGGAATTTATTGGACTCTTTTTGGTTCAGTGAAGTTTTGGTTGTTGATTATTTGGGATTTTCTATGTGGATAATCACATAATCTGCAAATAGGGACAGTTTTACTTGTTTCATTTTTTTTTTACCGATATAATTTTTTAAATTTAAATTCAACTAATTAACATATAGCATATTATTAGTTTCAGAGGTAAACCTCAGTGATTCATCAGTTGCATATAACACTCTGTGCTCTTTGAATCCCATGGCCCCTTAATGCCCATCACCCAGTTACCCCATTCCCCCACCCACCTCCTCCAGCAACCCTCAGTTTGTTTCCTATAGTTAAAAGTCTCTTTTTTTTTTTTAAAGATTTTATTTATTTATTTGATAGAGAGAGATAACAAGTAGGCAAAGAGGCAGGGAGAGAGAGTGAGAGGGAAGCAAGCTCCCTGCTGAGCAGAGAGCCCGACGTGGGACTCGATCCCACGACCCTGGAATCATGACCTGAGCCGAAGGCAGCGGCTTAACCCGCTGAGCCACCCAGGCACCCCCAGTTAAAAGTCTCTTATGGTGTTTCTCCCTCTCTGATTTTGCCCTATTTTTCCCTCCCTTCCCCTATGAGCCTCGGTTTTGTTTCATAAATTTCATGTATGAGCAAAATCATATGGTATTTTTCTCTGATTGACTTGTTTTACCTAACATAATACCCTCTAGTTCCATCCACGTCATTGCAAATGGTGAGATTCCCTTTTTTGATGGCTAAGTAATATTCCTATATATATATCTCTCTCACATCTTCTTTATCCATTCTTCTGTCAATGAACATCTGGGCTCTTTCCATAGTTTAGCTACTGTGGACATTGTTGCTATAAACATTGGGGAGCAGGTGCCACTTCTGATCACTGTATTTGTATCCTTTGGGTCATAGGATATTGCTGGGTCATAGAGTAGCTCTATTTTTTACTTTTTGAGGAACCTACATACTGTTTACCAGAGTTGCCATACCAGTTTTCATTCCCACCAGTAGTGTAAGAAAGTTTCCTTTTCTCCGTATCCTCGCCAACATCTGTTGTTTCCTGACTTGTTAATTTTAGTCATTCTGACAGATGTGAGGTGGTATCTCATTATGGTTTTGATTTGTAGTTCCCTGATGCCAAGTAATGTTAGCATTTTTCATGTGTCTGTTGGCCATTTGTATGTCTTCTTTGGAGAAATGTCTGTTCACATCTTCAGTCCATTTCTTGACTCTATTTTCTGTTTCTTTTTGGGTATTGAGTTTGATAAGTTCTTTATAGATTTTGGATACTAGCCCTTTATCTGAAAAGATATTTGCAAATATATCCTCCCATTCTGTTGTTTGTCTTTTGGTTTTGTTGACTGTTCCCTTTGCTATGCAAAAGATTTTATCTTGATGAAGTCCTAATAGTTTACATTTGCTTTCCTTTTTCCTTGCCTTTGAAGATGTGTCTAGCAAGAAATTGCTGTGGCTGAGGTCAAAGAGGTTGCTGCCTCTGTTCTCCTCTAGAATTTGGATGGGTTCCTGTCTCATACTGAGGTCTTTCATCCATTTTGAGGTTTTTTTGTATAGGTGTAAGAAAATGGTCCAGTTTCATTTTTTTGCATGTGACTGTCTAATTTTCCCAACACCATTGTTGAAGAGACTGTCTTTTTCCCATTGGATATTTTTTCCTGCTTTGTTGAAGAAGAGTTGGCCATAGGGTTGAGGGTCCATTTCTGGGTTCCGTATTCTGATCCACTGAACTATGTGTCTGCTTTTATGCCAGTACCATACTGTCTTGATGATTACAGCTTTGCAGTACAGTTTGAAGTCAAGAATTGTGATGCCACTAGCTTTGGTTTTCTTTTTCAGTATTCCTCTGGCTATTCAGCGCCTTTTCTGATTCCAGACATATTTTAGGATTATTTGTTCCAGCTCTGTGAAATATGTCAGTAGTGTTTTGATAGGGATTTCTTTATTTTTTTTTTTATTTTTTTTTTTAAAGATTTTATTTATTTATTTGTCAGAGAGAGAGAGCGAGCACAGACAGACAGAATGGCAGGCAGAGGCAGAGGGAGAAGCAGGCTCCCTGATGAGCAAGGAGCCCGATGTGGGACTCGATCCCAGGACGCTGGGATCATGACCTGAGCCGAAGGCAGCTGCTTAACCAACTGAGCCACCCAGGCGTCCCGATAGGGATTTCTTTAAATGTGTAGATTGCTTTAGGTAGCATAGACATTTTAACAATATTTGTTCTTCTAATCCATGAGCATGTGATGTTTTTCCATTTCTTTGTGTCTTCTTCAATTTCTTTCATAAGTATTCTGTAGTTTTTAGAGTACAGATGCTTTACCTCCTTGGTTAGATCTTCTTGTTGGATGGACCCTTTAATTATGGTATACTGTCCTTCATCTCGTATTACAGCCTTTGGTTTGAAATCTAATTTGTCTGATACAGGGATTGCTACCCCAGCTTTCTTTTGATGTCCAGTAGCATGATAAATAGTTCTCCACCACCTCACGTTCTTTCTTTTCTTTCTTTTTTTAAAATTCTATTTATTTTTTTGACAGAGAGAGAGAGAGAGAGATCACAAGTAGGCAGAGAGGAAGGCAGAGAGAGAGAGGGAAGCAGGCTCCCTGCTGAGCAGAGAGCCTGATGTGGGGCATGATCTCAGGACCCTGAGATCATGGCCTGAGCCGAAGGCAGAGGCTTAACCCACTGAGCCACCCAGGTGCCCCTACACCCCCTCACTTTCAATCTAGAGGTGTCTTTATGTCTAAAATGAGTCTCTTGCAGGGGCACCTGGGTGGCTCAGTGGGTTAAATCTTCTGCCTTCGGCTCAGGTCATGATCCCAGGGTCCTGGTATCAAGTCCCGCATCCGTCTCTCTGCTCAGTGGGGAGCCTGTTCCCTCCCCTTCTGCCTGCCTCTCTGCCCACTTGTGATCTCTCTCTGTCAAATGAATAAATAAAATCTTCAAAAAAAATACTTAAAAATATGTAAATAAATAAAATGAGTCTTGCAAACAGTGTATGGATGGGTCTTGTTTTTTTCCTCCAATCTGATACCCTGTGTGTTTTGAGTGGAGTTGCCCATTGACATTCAGAGTAATTATTGAAATATATGAATTTAGTGCCATTGTATTACCTGTAAAGTCACTGTTTCTATATATTATCTCTGTTTATTTCTGGTCTTTGTTATTTTGGGGCTGTCTCTTCACTTAAAGGATCCCCTTTGATATTTTTTGCAGGGCTGGTTTAGTGATCACAAATTCTTTTAGTTTCTTTCTTTCTTTTCTTTTTTTTAATCATGTTCTTTTAGTTTGTCCTGGAAGTGCTTTATCTCTCCTTCAATTCTGAATATTCCTTGCTGGATAAAGTATTCTTAGCTGTATATTTTTCTCATTGAGCATGCTAACTATATCATGGCAGACCTTTCTGGCTTGCCAGGTCTCTGTGGATGGGTCTGCTGCCAGTCTTATGGTTCTACCCTGGTAGGTAATGATGTGTTGTCTGGAGCTGCTTTCAGGATTTTGTCTCTGAGATTTGGAAGTTTCACTATTAGATGTCGGGGTGTTGGCTTATTTTTACTGATTTTGAGGGGGTTCTCTGGGCCTCCTGGATTTTGATGCTGGTTTGCTTCCCCAAATTAGGGAAGTTCTCCAGTATAATTTGCTCCAGTATACCTTCTGCCCGCCCCCTCTTTCCTCTTCTGGGATCACAATTATTCTAATATGGTTTTGCTTTATGCTATCACTGATCTCTTGAATCATCCCCTTATGATCCAGTAGTTGTTTATCTCTCTTTTTCTCAACTTCCTTATTCTCCATCATTTGTCTTCTATATCACTGACTCTCTTCTGCCTTATTTATCCTAGCAATTAGAGCCTCATTGTTTTTGTTTTGTTTTTTAAAGATCTTACTTATTTATTCATGAGAGACAGAGAGAGCAAGAGAGAGGCAGAGACAGAGGGAGAAGCAGGCTCCCTGCTACACAGGGAGCCTGA